CACACCTGCTGATTTCAGTGCTGCCAGGCCCCTGTACAGATTCTGTGCAAGGCCCCGTGCCCTTCCTCCTGCAGCTGCGTCGGCAGCCCTGGGGGCTCCTTCTGCTGCCCTGAGCCTGCAGAGCAGGGCAGTGTTTGCTGATGGTTTGAGGTGTTCCTAAAGATCCTGTCAGGCTGTCTTAGACACTTTGGGCAAGGGATTCCTTCCAACCTGGGCCACTTTGGGGGGATGGGGCGGAACCGGGGCAGGTGGCAGTGTGTGCAAGGGCCCTTTGTGACACGGTGCAGAATGGTAACCGTGGAATGGAAAGGGACAGGATGTCCAAGGGCCCTTTGTGACACATGGTGACATAGGGGCTGTCCCAGTGCGGTGACAGGGCCATGCCCCAGTGCTCAGTGCACGCGACGGGACAGGACGCGCCAGAGCGGTGCTGTGAGGAGCCCCCACACAGCGCACTCGTTTGTGTCTAACCCGGAGATTTTCCAAGGCGTTTCTTCTACAGGTGACCTCGTGGCAAGACTGCGGGCCTTGGTGGCCCGTGGCTTTCCCGAGGGTTTTCTTTTGCAGGTCCCCGCGGGGCAAGACTGCGGGCCTCGGTGGCCCGTGGCTTTCCCGAGGCTTTTCTTTTGCAGGTGCCTGCGGGGCAAGACTGTGGGCCTTGCTGGCCCGTGGCCTTCCCAAGACTTTTCTTTTGCAGGTGCCTTCAAGGCCAGACTCCGGTACTTGGTGACCTGGAGCTTTTCTGAGGCATCTCCCATCCTTCTGACCTCTGTCCTCAAGGTGAGACTGTGGGACCTGGTGACCACAGTCATTTACAAGGAGCCTCAAGTCATTGTGGCCGGAGCCCTCAAGACCAGACTGCAGGACTTGCTGTCCTGTAGCCTTCCTGAGGCTTCTCTCTCACAGGTGCATTCAAGGCTCAACTGCACAGTTTGTTTTCTCAGTTTGATTTCCCAAGGCATCTCGCCTTAAGGTGCCTTTGAGGCAGGATTCCATCATGGCAGGCAGATTCCTCAACCTGTTCAAAGTGTTCCGACGGAACAGAAACACAGACCGTGGAGCTGCCCCAGCAGAACAGCCGGAAGAGCTGGAGCAGTTCCAACCACTGCAGGATGGTGAGTGGCAGAGCTGGGCCACAGGGCTGATGGCTGCAGCCAGCAAGATCCCATCCCATCCCATCCCATCCCATCCCATCCCATCCCATCCCATCCCATCCCATCCCATCCCATGTGGACATGCCCAAGGACAGGACAGAAGAAGGGCTGGGGCTGACCCCGCCAGTGACCGTGCTCCATCCCCTGAGCCACCCCAGGGCTGTCCCTGCCTGGAGAGTGCAAGGCTGGGCTGTGTTCTCCGGCCTCTCCCACAGTCCCTCAGCTCTGGCTGCTCTTTTCCAGATGCAGCCATGGACAAGAGACAAGAGCAGGAACCTGCCCAGGGCCGCTTCCGCAAAACGCTGAAGGTACCTGCAGGCATCCCCACCTGGGCTGGGCCTGCTGTCACTGCTCAGCCCAGCTCTGCACATGGAGCACTCCTTGGAACATGCCTCTCTTCCCTGTCCTTTCTTCATTCTGCACAGAGGTTCCGCAAATTCTTGCGTATTCGGCGTAGAAAGAACACCACCACAGCAGGAACTGAGGGCACAGCTGAGCCTGAATCTGGGCTGGAGGAGCTCCAGGCAGAGCCTGATGTCAGCCCAGATTCAGCTGAGCCCTCAGAAGTTTCTGAGACTGAAGTGAAGAATGACAGGGCAGAGGCTGACATGGCAGAGACTGAGGACGTGGCCATTCCAGATGATGACACCAGAGAGACTCAGGGCATCGCAAATGCTGACAGGACACCCACTCCCACTGTAAGCCAAGAGCTCATATGGGATTATTTCAAGGAAGCTCGTGTTTCTTCTGACATTGATGACAAGAGAGCTGCTTCTTCTGACCAGCAGGTAGCCAGCCTGCTACCGGGGTAGCAGAACTGGAGGTCTCCCAGGATCCTGTGCCCCTTCAAGCCACATCCACAGGGCCCCCTCAGCCTTTGAGGCCAGCAGAGTGTGATGGGACGGTAAGCACTTCTTGGGGGAAGCTGGGGAAGTTGCTCCTTGAACAGCGCTCCAAGTCTTCCCCATGCCTCCTCCAGGTGCCAGCCATTGTGAGGAACATTTACCAGAGTCTCGTGTCCCATGTCCTTGTGGATGCCAGTCAGCAAACTGACCTTGTGAGGCTGGCTGAAGAAGACCCTACTGATGTGGTGCTGACCCTCCTGCGCTGTGCCCCATCGTGTGACAGGTATGGGGCCCACGTGCCTTGAGAGCTCAGGGCTCAGCGGCCTTTAGGGCCCATTGCCCTGCACAGCCTGTCCAATGGGCTCTGCCCAACAGGCAGAGAGGTCCAGGAGCCTCGGGCCCCTCTGTTTCCTGAGGCTGCTGCCAGTGCTCCCTCCCTGCCCCTCAGGGCACTGGGGCTCTGTCACCTGGGACCCCACAGCTACACAGGGCATGGCTCTGTGACTGAGACACCCCTAACAAACAGCTCTGATCCCACAGAGCTGCTGCAGTGATGTGGCAAGCCATAGCCTCATCAGGACAAGCAGTGAAGAGAGTGGTGCCAATACTGCTCTGTGTGATGGAGAACTGGCCACTTTGCAACATCTGCACCTCTGATGGGGACAACAAAGATGTTTTTTCCTTGAGTGTGAGTTTCTGGAGCTGACCTTTGATCACCTGCAGCTTGCTTCCCCAGGAACTCTCCATCCTCTCCCTGCCTCAGGCTGGGCTGAAACCTGGGCTAGGGGCAGGCTCAGGGGGCACCAGGCCTGCTGCTCCCCCTGTGTCTCCCCTCGGGCCCTGCCCCATGGACACCTCGGCACTGAGCGCTGTCTTGGTGTGATTCTTTTGCAGGCAACTCTGGTGCTCTGGGTGATGGTCCAGATGCCTCAGTGCCATGAGGCGATGGTCATTTATACCCCTCGCATTTTTGCGGCTCTGCTGTTCCAAGTTGTCATCACCACACAGCAGATGCCACCAGAGGAATTTGACAGCTTCTGGAGAGCATGCCAGGAGGAACACCACCTTCCCAGCAACCCCAACAGGTGCCAGTCCTCCTGTCCTTCCCATGCCCTTGTGGCTGACACCAGTGCACCCAGTGTGACCTGGCCTTTGCTCTGCACACAGCTTTGCAGTGCAGGCCATGAAGGCTCTGCTCTGCCGACTGGGGTGCTCCAAAGAGGTGATGGCTATGGAGCGCAAGGGTGGCTGGGACACGCTCCTCTGTGCTGACACCCAGCACAATGCCGTGGGTCTGCTGGCCAGGTAAGAGCCCCTTCCCCCCGCGGCCTCTGAAATGTGTGCCCTGTGCCCCTCATAGTCCCCATGGTCATGGCCAGAAGGCCTCATCACTGAGGGATGGCTGAGCAGACTGGAAACGGCTGATAGAGGAGGGTGCCCAAAAGAAGCCACCTCCCAAAGCACCCATGATCCCTCCAAGGATGCTGGGGAAAGGCCAGATCTCTGTGAGTCATTCATGGCAGAGATTTGCCCCTCCACACCTCAAGTCTTGGTGCTGTTTTCCCCCTGACAGGGAGATGTGCCATGGATTGGCCCCCTTCTGTACCCGCATTGCAATCCACCTGCTCAAGGCACTCGCCAGGGATAAGCCACCCTGGGATCTGTCCTCCCTGGCATTCCTTGTGGAGGTGAGCCCCATGGCCAGCACTACCTCGCTGAGCACTACCTCGCTGAGCTGCCTGCCAGCCCTGTCCCCTTGCATAGCCACAGCTGCCTGGGACGGTGCCCGCGCCCTGTGCTGCTGCCTGGGCCCAGCCCTGCGCAGTTCCAGGCTCCTGCCAGCCGGCTCCGCTGTCACTGCCCTGTGCCTTTCAGGTCCTTGAGTACTTAGATTTGACTACATACGGTGACGGTGTCCTTGAGATGGTGTCAAGGCACCTGCAGAGCGAGTGCAGGCAGAGGCGTCGCCTGGCGCTCAGAGGCCTCGTGGTGCTCAGCAAGGATCCCTCGATGGTGAGAACGGGGCAGCGGCTGAAGCTGTGCTGGGCAAAGCAGGCCCTTGGGCTGGCTGGGCTTCAGGAGCTGAGGCAGCTGCTCCCAGCTCTCCTGCCTCCCTGCCTCACCGGCCTCAGTGCTTTGGGACAGGCCTTTGGCCTCTGGGCCCGGCAGCAGCAGGGTGGGGTTGCAGTGCCAGGGCGGTCTTGGCGCTGCAGCCGTTCAGGGCTTCCCAGCACAGTCTTGTGTTCCAAACAGGCCATAAGGATGTGCAGCCTGTCTCAACGCCTTCAGGACCTGCTGGGTGATGCAGATGGAAATGTGGTTGTCATGACCCTCCGTGTGTTCATCAATATGCTCAAGAATAAAGACATCGTGGTATGCAGCACCACTGCTCCAAAGCTGGCTCAGGCACTCATGCTGCTCTTTGATCACGTAAGGCTCTGTGCCCCCAGCCATGGGCATTGGCTGCTGCCCAGAAACTTTGTGTCTTACAGATTTCTGGGCCTTTGTCCAGACGAGCTTGGAGGAATCGGTATTAAGGTCTTTTTCATTTCTTTTCCTCCAGGGCCACAGCCATGTGCAGTTGCTCTCCCTTGACCTCTTCTTCATGACAATGGGCTTGGTTGTGGATGAGGGAAAGAAGCCTCTGGAGAAGATTTTGAACCAGAGCCTGCTTCCACTCTTCATCCACTGCCATGATGAGAACTGGCGTGTGGCAAAGGTGAGGTTTGCTGTGATGCCGGTGCATCCCTGGGAGGGGCATCGGCTTCCTCCTGTCGTGGAACCTCCCAGGCTGCAGCTTCCTCTGGGCCCTGTCAGCCAGACAAGAGTGATGTGCCCTTGGCTGCAGTGCCATCTCTGCATCTCTGCTGCTCTCCAGGCCTCTCAGCAAACGCTGCTTCGTGTGGCCGACTTTCTCAAGAGGAGGAATCTCAAGCAGCTGTTGAGAAAAGAGCAGCTGTGGGAGTTTGCTGACTGTCTGGTAAGAACGGCCTGGAGAAGCCCAAATTTGAGAAGCTCCCTGCCCCCAGTGCTCAGTGTGTGGAGCTGGCAGCTGTGGCCCAGTGCTGCACCCATGGGAGACAGCCTGTGCCCCACACACCGCTCCCTTCCCTGGGCTGCACGGCTTCTTCTCCAGGCTCCTGTGGCCCCGAGCCGGGTGCCGATGGAGCCCCAGCCCTGTGGGGCTGCGGGCCTGGGGGGCAGCGCGGCTCCCCGGGCAGCAGCCGGCCCTCTGCCCCCTCCAGAGCCCGGCGCCAGTGGCTGCTGCCCGGTGCCTCAGGGCTGGGCGGGCACGGG